CCCCTCAGCTGGGTGTCATCTGCCAACTGCGGATAATAGTCAGCGGACTGTACGAGGCTTGGAAGCCTCTCGGTGATATCCCTGATGCGAGCCCCCAGTAAGCAGCACACCTCTCCAGAGAGTGCGTCCGGTTGGCAAATGGGTGCCTCCATACCTCTCAGAAGAGAGTCGCCTACTACTATCACCCGTTGCCTTTTCTTAGTGGTGCTGGTTGTTATACGGGGGGCAGATGGGGCTGCATTACTCAGCCCCAGCACTTCTCCCAGTGTGACAGGACTTTCCTCTTTGGCCTGCAGAACGGTGAAGCGGTTCTTCAAGGGCACCTCAGGCTTTGGGGGAAGTCTCTTCCTCCTGCTGGTCCTTGCCTTTGCAACCACCCATTCTTCTGCAAAACTTGTGGTTGGAGAATTAAGTAATCATGTACAGAAGATGCCAGCACCAGGCTTGTCAGTACCTTACAGTGGCACTCTTCTGTGATTTCACTATGATACAGTCTTTAATTGCATTGCTACATACTATTTTTTTGGCATAACCCTCGGCTCATTCATGGTACAGAAATGATCATGCTCATAGAGTGGATCAAGGCTGTGCAGAGAATGATGTGGCTGTCTGTGAAATTCCGCCTCTGTTGTAGCAATGGGGAGGTGCTTTTCCTGTAGAAGTGGTACTGCACAAAAAGGAAATGTATAGCTCTTCAAAAACACAGTTACTGCAGGAGAAGAAAACTAGAATAAAAAGCACATAATGGGAGGTTTTTGGAAAAAGAAGTCTTTACCCTTAATTTAAAAGGACAGTTAACTCTCTTGGTGTTCTGTGTAATTCTTTGATCATTAGTTAATAGTCACGTGTTTTCCTAGTATTATGTAATTCCTGGAGCTTGGTTAAGGAAGTTGAACGCTGCCTGGGGAACTGATTCTGGTTTTGGCTTTGTCAAAACTCCTGTGTGATTTTGGGTAAGTCATTTGAACCAAAAACTCTGCAGTTATCCACCGAATGTGCTCCTTTTATTTTCTGACAGACCTAAAGAAGATGAGTGCTCATAACTGAAGTTGATTGGAGACTACTAGTGCTTTAACATGGAAAAATTCTAAATACTTTGAAAGACTATGAGTTTGACTATGAGTCTTAGATTGGCACCCAGCATGAGCATCTTGGTTTTGTTCTAGAGAATGTAGATTATAATATTACCATTTTTATTGGAATCTTGTGAATATTGAGTTCATTTTCTGTTTTTGTCACAACGCTACTAGAAATATCAAAGATAGTGGATTTGTATTCAACTTGGGTTTTGTTAAATGGCCTACAGCCATATGCTCAATAGAGAAGATAATAGCATTGGACAATTTTCATTACTTAGTCAACCAGAAGATTTGAAAAAAAAAAAATAATTGTTTATGATCACAGCTTTACCAAACACAGTACCCAATAGGGCATAACATAGTGTCAGTTTTTAAACAGGTCAAAGTCCAGTTAAAAGTTTTGTAACATTTCGGTGGCTTCCTTTGTAACTTTCAACGTTATTTTGATGGGGATTTTTAATACAACTTTCCCTTTTCTTTTTTGAAAAAGAAAAGAAAAGCAACAAATAACTTGTAAATGTTCTCAGCTTTGGTCCTTTGGATCCATAGTACTAGTCTTTACCTTCTGAACACAATAGTGAGACAAATATTTTATAAGGCTTTGTAGGAGAATTGAATGTGTTTCCTTGTGATGCTTGCATTCCCCTCTTGGATTGATGGGAAATGCACTCTATAGGCTAACAGCCATTCTCCTCTTGTCATTTCACGTCTCTGTCAGGTTCAGATAACTAACAGATGTTGAAGTGGCTAACTTCTAGCTGTATAGGCCCTCCTGTGCATCTTGTCCTCAGGCTTGCAGTACTAAGTGAAGAAATGTCTGAGTACTTTTAAAAGTTTGAACCTGAAGCCGTAACTCTCCCCTAACATTTGCATTATAAAGAATGCACATTATGTGAAAGCTGGGTTGCTTTTTACTGCTGAACATAAAAAATGGAAAATTAAAAAAAATTAAATAATATTAAAGAAAAGAACAGTTTTGCACAGATGCAGAAATTTTATTGTGCTGTAAAAATAGCAAAATCAAAGTAAAAAAAATGTACTTACTTGTTTAGGTTGCCAAGAGCAACCTGGAAATGTTATTTTGGAGACTTGCATTTGAATAGCTTAACTGGGGTTGGAGTAGATAACCTCCAGATGTCCCTTCCAACCACACCCGTTTTGTGATTCTGTGATCCTGTCAACTGGAAGCATTTGATTATACTTTCAGATTTTAATTCAGTCCAGCACCTATCAATGTAACCAGTACACCAGTGCATTTTTAAAGAAAATTATAGATTTTGAGATTTTATGACAAAAAGGTAATGACAAAATGAATTGCATCTGAAATTCATTTTGTAATGAATTAAGCACTTAAGCCTTAGAATGAGCTTGAAGTATAGGTTTAGATTAATGCTGAAAGCTGCACTGAAGAACAATTGAAATTACATTCTGCATCTTCAGGAAAAAATAAGACTATTATATGTAATATAATAATCTTTGCACCGTCAGAGAGTCATAAATGTTATGAGGATGCTGCAAAACCCATGCAAAGATATCAGCCAAGACATTGTCTAGACTAATAACAGTAACAGAAAAAGAAAATCCCAAAGAAGTTGTTATATAGACACAGTGTGGTTTAGATATCAACAGTGAGCAATTCAAGAGTCAGTTAGATGCCATCTCAAGGGATATTAAATGCGAAGAATGAAGAAGTTTATTAGACCAAACAGCATTTACTTTTACCTGTTGTTTTAGCACTGAAGTTAGTCATAACATCTAGATAAATCTGAGGAAATCAGTGCAGGTATTAGACTCCAGTTACAGAAAATTTGAGATTATTTCACTTAATGTATTTCAAAATGAAGTGGGCTTAGGCTGTGTACCAGTGAAAAATTAAGTGGAGTGAGACTAGGAAATAAGGAGCAAGGAGTTAAACTTAGGAGGAAAGGATGTGTTTGTGCTTCAGGTTCCTCAAGTGCTTTGCATTCTATTTAAGGTAAGTAAAGAGACTCTAAGTAACTCAGCTATTTTAGGATAGTAGTTTCCCTGTGAGTAGGACTAAGCAGTATTAATACACATAATTCATCACAAGTCCTTGTAAGTATTCCTGGTGGGGAACATAATATACTGCCATGTATTTGCAAAGCAAGACACACACAAAAAAGAGATAGGAATGAGTGGTAAATATGGTGGTTTATTTTAGAAATTTAAAGCTTGACCTACAGTAAATGTTTTTCAGTAGATTTACTGTTAGTAAGGAACAGGGAGTGAATAGTGTGACAAGTAAATTTATAGATAACACTAATTTCTTTCTAATAGTCAAAACGACAGATGACAGGGAATAAGCAAGATGTTATAATCTTTCCAAAACTGGTTAGAAACAAACACTAAAATGTTCTGCTGTTGTCATTTAAACCAATGGTAGGCATTTTGTCTGGAGTGCACTGTTCACTGCTGAGTATGGCTCACAGGAGAACTGTATTCCTGGTGTTGTATAAAAAAAGTATAACTGTCTAGTTAAAAGATTCTAGACTTACTTATTGTTTGGCATAATAATTATCAAAGTATGTCCCAGATGTGCTGATATGTAATATGGTTATAATTGAGTTCAGTATCTTTGCATTGCTTATCATAAGATTCAATATATTCTATTCTAAGACTCTGCTCAGAAGATGACTTTGTTCTGTTTTAACAGTATGCACATTTTTTTACTACTAAATAGAGGCTGTGTGTACATTTCTTATGCTTTTCTGTGTGTCTAAAAATGTAGGTAACTAGATTAGGAGAGGTGATATTTTGACATAAGCCTGTCAACTTGGGTTTTTTGGGTTTGTGATTTTTTTGTTAAAAGTTCTTCATGTAAGCCAGTGAGGAGTATAAGTGTGAATGACTGATCAAAGAGGTCAGTGAAGGGGACTGATACATTAGGGAAAACTGTTTCAAAGTGCCAGGGAGCCTAATAACTCCTTGGAGAGGCTGAGAAACAAAAAGAGGACAAGAAACAAGTGGGAGAAAAACACTGAGTGGGAGAAAAACACTGAGAAGACAGAGACTGCCTAGGCAAAGGTGAGAGGACACCTGGCAGGAAAGGAGACAAGGAAGTGAGTCTATAATTCCTAGAAACTGCCAAATGACTTAATTGGATAAAGCCCCTTACTAGCTTTAGTACATGCACTTAATTGCCATGCTTATTTTGATGATGGGACTCAACTCTCCATATTTCAAAGATACTGCTAAAAGTATTGTAAAGATCCAATTGAAGCTAAATACATTAATATAGCGCCTTCTGTGTTCAAAACACTGTACAAACATAGCTATATGACTTGAACGGGTTTAATTTCTTCAAAGGCTTGTCGTTGCTCAGGGCCCCATTTGAAATTGTTATTCCGGGTCACTTGCTAGAGAGGGCTTACAATTAGGCTGTAATTTGGAATACATATTCTCCAAAAACCCACAATGCCTAAGAAAGCTTGTGTTTCCTTTTTGTTAGTTGGTGGAGACGTGGCTGTTATTTTGTTGATCACATCCGTTGGCATCTGACGGCATCCATCTTGCCATTTTATTCATAAAAAATGCACGTCCCTTGACTTTACTTTGTTTTATGGCAAAACTGTCCTTCAGAAGGATTTGGACTATTTTCTTCCCTTTCTCAAAAACTTCTTCTGCTGTGTTGCCCCATATGACGATGTCATCGATGTACTGCAGGTGTTCTGGAGCTCCACCCTGTTCCAGTGCAGTCAGAATCAGTCCATGGCAAATGGTGGGGCTGTGTTTCCACCCCTGGGGCAGTCGGTTCCAGCTGTACTGGACGCCCCTCCAGTACAGCAAACTGTGGCCTACGCTCTGCTGCCAAAGGGATTGAGAAAAACGCATTAGCAATATCAACTGTGGCATACCACTTGGCTGCCTTTGACTCCAGTTCGTATTGAAGTTCTAGCATGTCCGGCACGGCAGCATTCAGCAGTGGCGTGACTTCGTTCAGGCCACAGTAATCTACTGTCAGTCTCCACTCTCCATTAGACTTTCGCACTGGCCATATGGGACTGTTAAAGGGTGAACGAGTCTTGCTGATCACTCCTTGGCTCTCCAGTCGACGAATCAGCTTATGGATGGGAATCAGGGAGTCTCGGCTGGTGCGATATTGCCACCGGTGCACTGTTGTGGTAGCGATTGGCACCTGTTGTTCCTCAACTCTCAGCAACCCCACAACAGAGGGGTCCTCTGAGAGACCAGGCAAGGTGGACAGCTGTTTAATTCCTTCCGTCTCCACGGCAGCTATGCCAACAG